GTTGCTTCATGGTAGGACAAACCTTTAAGGTAAGATAACTACTGATGACTTAAGAAAAATGTCTCTAAAATTATACAGTAATAATACAACGGTAATAGCTAGCAAGCATTCTACCACTGCACTTGCCAACCACGTATGTGGTCCAGTGTTCGATCCCCGTTCGACGCACTTTTTTACCTTGCTAAGCCAGTAATAAAACTGGTAAAGAGGGAAGGTTGGGCAGGAGGCTAACAACCCTATCCCGTAGTAATAATAATGAAAAAAGCGAATCATGCTCTTCTTAATGCCTAATTGTGTCTACTAAACTTTTTCCTGCACACATATTAGAATACATAATTTCACTGAGTAGTTGGTTGGTGTATAGATATTTCAGAATTCAATTTTATGCATTACCGTAACACCAATATAATGAATACTGACGGCACCTTAGATGACTTAGTAAAAACTTATCAATATTTATTCCCTATGGTACACACTGTCTAGACAACTGTCCTATATATGCACTGAGGTATCTTACAGACACTGATTAACCGACTAATGTATAAGACATGCTTATTGATTGACAGATGAATATTATATATATATATATATATATATATGCACTACACATAGACTTTTCTTCATAACCACTAACGCAGCAGTGTGTCGTTTTGTACACAATTTAGTTTTCCCCTTTATCAGCATACTATTATCATATACTCATCACATAATAACCTAAATGAAAAAGCTTGTCTTTTATATCTGCCTGTTTTCATTGATTACTATACACTAGTAACAATCAGTACAGTTACACTAATTAGGTAAAATACACAGGTAGTATGTCAAGATTAAAAGGCAAAAGTACAACCAAGAAATTGACGTCCAATGAAAAGTGACTACAACTATCCATCGTTATATGTGAAGAAAAAAATGTAAGTAGAACAAAATGTGATTCATTTGTGAACTATATTTCAAATAGTACATTCAAGTTAAAGTGGAAAACCAAGGAGAACGCATTAAACAGAACAATCATACAACGTGTAAGAATAAGATGGTGAGTCCTTGGTAAAAAAAATTTAGACACTATTAGTGTATTACTCAACAACCACTTATATATCCATGCAGTTGACAATGAGTCACCTGGCTGTCTAAGTCTCGGTAGGTGGAGCGGGGTTCGAAACCAAGCCGTAATGGTTGAAAGCCAAGCACCTAAACCAATGAGCTAAAACTCCACGGTAATAATTTAGGCTTACGTACGTTTAACACTTCAGCGAATCAAAGTGTGTATTATTTTTTTTCCTTCACGTTCCCAGTGGAACATAGAGTCTCAAGCTAGAGGCTTGAAGTTTCTGTAGCAGTGGTGTTTATTTTTACGGAATGAAGTTGCTGGCCTCATGCCCAACCTTTCCTCTTTACCAGCTTTATTTCTAGCTTGGCGAGGTAGAGGAGTGCGTCGGCCGGGGATCGAACCCCGGACCATGTGCATGGTCGGCGAGCGTCCTAACCGCTGTGCCACCGACACTGACAGCCTTTAAAACAGCAATTTCGGTTACAAATTAAGACAGTTGCTTATTACCAAGTGTTTTAATGTAGAAACGGAAAAAGGCTTGATAAACAGAGGTCGAAGTCTACATGGACGATCCACACTATATGATTAACTACTATTTGTCATTGAGTCAATGATGGCGAAATATAGGCTGAGCAGTTAGACAGGTTTTACAAAAACTTTAGCAAGTATAAATCAGATAAGAAGAGAAGTAGGTAGCTGAATGAAGGCATATAGTGGAAGAAACCTTTAATTATTCAATTTAAAATAACATAACCGATTTTAACAGTATGGGTACGCATGCTGAATAGTGTTCAGAAATTACCGAAATCCAGTGATTACAACTTCTGTCTACTGATATTCACAATTCATAATTAATAAGAAATACCGTAGAACAAGCAATAGTCAATAATTCAAACAACTATGAACTGTTTAGCTTTTTAGTCACAGAATGTAACGAATTAAGAATAAAGTGACTAAATTTGGCACGGACACACAGACTGCTAATGGACAAAACAATTTAGAACTTAGGACAGAAGTGCATTATATCAAACTATAACATAAAGAAAAGCACAGCCAGAAAATAAAGTATAGTGTGATTAACTTAAGCTGACCGCTATTTTAATTATCATTTAAACTTTGGATAATATTGAACCAATTGTACGTTAAGGTGAACTGAAGTGGCTTGAATATATATGATACAGAGATTTTAAACTGGTCGGCAGAGGTAAATGTGACCACACGGAGACAGAGTTTAAAAATCTAAGTATTATGACTAAGAATCAATATTATAACTTAATCCTCATTTTAGTTGTAGTATCACATATATTTACTTCCATTAACCTTTCTTTTCTCTGTCTTATAACATCATAATATCTTTGATCATAGAATTTTTGCTTCCTTATTTTACTCTCCACTACCTTTTACTTGATATGTAGATGAATGACGTGGCAGATGAGGCTATGGCGTGGTAATGCTGTCTTATGCTAATAAGACATGTCAGTATGTACTGCTACAGTTCCCATTGACATGCCAGCATTAACGTGCATAGTATGTGATGAATCATGATTAGAAGTGAGATAAAAACATCGATAGTGACAGGATTCGAGTTAGTTACCCATGAATAGCTGATCACTTGAATCACAAGATCCAACTGCTACCTACCTTTCAGTTTCAATACGACTGAGTGTTTTGCCCAAACGTCCTGCAAATAGTCAGTATTCAATTCTCTTCGGTGTCGAAACACCAAATCCTTCTCGGTTTGATCTTCCAGCATATATATATATATATACATATATGTTAGATGGTTGGAGGCAATCGGCAGGAAGCCTTGGACCTAGTTTTCGTGCTAGTTGGCACTCACCAGTCAGCAAGGAGTATCTGTAACCTTGAAAGAACTATTTCCCTTCTGAGACTCGAACCCACATCATCCAGTGCTGCAGTCAGAGACGTTAACACCACTCTATTGGGGTTCGCGAATGACCTCCTGTAGGACTGTATCGGGTACTTTGATTGGACACTAGTAACTAGTGTGATGTGTCTAGTCTTGCTGACGAGTGCCAACTAGCACTAAACCTAGGTCCAAGGCTACCTGTCGATCGCTTCCAACTATCCAGCATCAAAAATTCAAAGTGCACTGTGATGGCGAGCTACCAAGAGTGGTGGCCACATTGCAAACCAGATTGATAGAATTCAGTCTGCACCAAAGAAAGGATATCACACTAGTTACTAGTGTCCAATAAAAGTATGTATATATATATATATATATATATATATATATATACATTTCGAGTGGAATATAGGGCTTCAACCTTGGGTTTTGAAGTTTCAATAGCAGTGATGTTTTTTACTGGGTGAGGTTCCTAGCCTCCTGCCGAACCTTCCCTCCTTACTAGGACTACTGCCGGCACGCGGCGTTTAGGAGTGTCTCAGTAGAGGATCGAACTTGGACCACAAATGTAATTAACGAGCTTTCTACCATTTAACCCCCACGCATATATATATATATATACCATTATTACTATTATTTCTCAAAATTTCTACACTTTTCGGCATCATTGTAATTGTCTTGTCTCCATCATTTATCACTTGATTGCACAACTTTCCATAACTATTTCTTCCCAATTATCCGAGAAAGATTTCTTCAATCCCCTATAAATGTACATCTACATTCCACTGAATCATATATGCATGAGTGCGTCGGTGGTTCAGCTGTAGATTGCTCTCCAGTCACACATGTCGGCCGGAGTTCGACTCCCAGCCGGCTCACACCGTTACCTTCCTTAACCGTTTGTAAGCCCGACAATAGAGGAAGGTTGGGTGTGATGTTAGCAAACCTACCCCCATAAAAATAAAACTGCTGCTACTGAAACTTCAAAGCTGAAGCTTGAAGCCCTATGTTCCAGTCGGAAAGCAAAGGAATGAAATAATAATACATAGATGAGATATCGGTCATCTCGTCTTATTCTATATTATTATGAAAATATGAATCATCACAGAATGAATCCGCGCTTACGTCCTCCACATTTATAAGCTAATCATTTATTGATTTGAAGTTTTATACAATATCACAAACGCCAAAGAAATAACAGTTATGTCGTCGTCTTATTCATTCTATAACTCTTATTCATAAATAGTTAAAACAATAATGAATTTACAATAGGTAATGTCATATAAAGAATTTTGCCGACATTTCAACCAGAAAGAGATAAACAGCGTGATTTATTTAGATCTACAGAGTAAATCACTTTAACATAAAAACGTTTCAAACACAATTGAGAATGACAGTTTAAAACAAAATTGGCAATAAGCTGACCCGCTGTATAAGCCAACAAATGAAAAGCAGCAAGCATTATTATTTTCATAATGAAATACAATGCTAAATAATAACAACACTATAACTTTGAGATCAATTCTTACTATGAAAAAAAATTTCTAATGACAGCTGCAAAACATGACAGAAGAAGTCAGAATAGCTTAGTGATACTGCATTTGATTTCATATCCGTATTAATTACTATTGACATGCGATAAATGTCATTTGTGAGGCTATTCATAGCATTCACATGGGTGGGGGGTGACCCTCACAACCGGACTGTCCGACATACAGGTCTACATAGGAGACCTGAAAAACTCTGATTCCAAATTTATGCTGCACATGGGCTCGAGAATACGAAAAGAACCGAATGGCTAATGAACCTGTTTTGAGCAACAACAACCATGGGAAAGTAAAGCCTGACACTTCTCTACCGCTTTGTTGATCAGATTTTAAGTTGAGGGCTCGAGGGGTGGCTCCTTAAAACAACCAACTGCTTCGGTCAGGGCATCTAGGCAGTATCCCAACAAACTATGAGGTTTTGTGTGGTGCATCTGTTGGTGTTCCTAATGTGCCAGGTTTGTGTTCCAGTAGTGTAATAATAATAATAAAATGTGAAACTAACATACAGAATATAAAAACAACAAATAAATCTACTCACCGTTTTGTACACGAGAAGTATAATTTGATTGTAGAGTATCACTATGGATAGTATTTGCACTAGTCAAAGAAACAGGAGTAGTAGTGGTAACAGTTGTCGATGAGACTGAACTGACAGAAGAACGTTGTATACCACTAGTAGTAGTGTTGGCAATTTTAGAAATCAATTGATAAACATTAATGACCAGATATAAATCATTATGTTGTTTAAATCCAATACGTTCATCAATAGATCTATTTGGATATTGATTCAACAAGTGTGTAATCGAGGCGAGGAGTGAAGTGAAATTATCCAATGATTTATTTAAACGTTGAATAAAATTAACAATTCTTTTAATATTTTCACAATCATCTTTGAATAGATCATGTTGAATATTGAGATTTATAATAGTACTTGTATCCAATACAGTAGTTGATGATGATGATAATAATAGTAATAATTCTTGATAATGATCTAAGCAAACTGGATCAGTGTGAACAGCAACAGAAAAATAAAGCAGAAGAAAGTAGTATGAATTAGTGCAAAAGTATTATTAATGTCTTTTCACTGGAGAAATGAGTTAACACATTTAAAGAAGGAGAAGAAGAAAAAATTAAACAAATAATTGAACATAGAAATCTATTCACACACGCAACACACACGCACGCACACACATTAATATTCACAAACCCACACACATATACACACACGTACACGTATACACACAGGCACATATACGACTCATTCTCTAATTGGTTCGGTGTTACGCTTAATCATCAGATGATTGACATATTGTTCTATTAACGAAAAAATAATCGATTTGTAACAGGAATCAATTAAAGGTCATATGGTAGGAATAGATCCATATGTACTTACTTATTACAATGCCAAAAGCTAATGTTCAACCTATATACACGTAAGTATGTTATGACATAAGGAAAAGACCTTGAGGTCTTCATTTTACAAAAGTATTCAATAGATTGGTTCTGTCAGATGGTTGGAGGCAATCGGTAGGAAGCCTTGCCTGACCTAGGTTTCGTGCTAGTTGGCACTCACCAGTCAGCAAGGAGTATCTGCAACCTTGAAGGAACTCATGTCCCTTCTGAGATTCAAACCGGTGTCACCCAGTGCTGCAGTCAGAGACGTTACCACTGAGCTATTTGGGTTCGCGATTGACCTCCTGTAGGACTGTAGTGGATATTTTGATTGGACACCGTGATGGCGAGCTACCTAGAATGGTGGCCACATTACAAACCTGACTGATAGAATTCAGTCTGCACCAAAGAAAGGACTAGACACATCACACTAGTTACTAGTGTCTAATCAAGATTGGTTCTGTGCCAAACCACTAGCTGTTTTCAAGCATTCTTACAACTTCTTCAACTTTGAATCGAAATTGTGGAGTTCGATACAGCAATCAGCCAAGAAGAAATGAGTAAAAATATACTGACAAGTGATAAAAATGAGAACAGCCATAGATAATGTAAAGTTGAAGAGCAACAAGAAAATTGTAAAAATATTAAGCATCAGTTACAATCAGAGAAATCTTCATACTGTACTCTCTGTTACACACTTTGTATACATGGTTTCATCCGACATGAAGACGAATGTCAAAAAGCAAGATTGGAAAAGCAATACACACCTTCACTAATCTGTAATGAATGTACAAATCTACTGCAGTTAGCACAGGGAAGAAGATTCTAATTTTCAACAATAATGCCAAGGTAGCGCTACGATATCGTTCAGAAACTTGGCGCATGGTCAAAAACATATCCAACAACCTGTTGCAGACTTTTATCAACAGGTGCTTTCGCTCTATACTGAAGATCCGATGGCCGGTTAGAAAGGATTAGCAACAAGGACCTCTGGAAGGTAACGAACCTTATCAAGAACCTATTGCCCAAGATATGTGCAGAAGAAAATGGAGGTGGATCAGACATACGCTGAGGAGATCGCCAGGCCCCTGAGAAGAACTGTAGTGGGAAACGACGAGCTAGGCGTGGGTCTGAAGATGATATGGAGAAGATCATGAGAAGGAGAGATGAAAGGTTACGGTCAATCATGAAGCCAGCTTGAAAGAATTAAAGAGAACAAAGTGGAATGGAGATCTATGGCTGAAGTCCTAAATTCCACTTGAGACCGAAGGGAATAATAATAATATATTGATAATAAGCAGAAAACCATCTGCAATTATTCCAACTACCTCCTTGAAAATAATACAGATTAAGGACAGATAGAGTTTTATACTGTGTTTTTTATTTAGAATGAAAATAAACGGAGAATTCAAAAACAAATCTAAATAGTACAGTGAATAAAAATGAAGGGTTAGTAAAGATTTTTGTTATCCTTTCATGAAGTATGAGAGAAAGGAGAAAATAGTAGAGCATTAGTTTCTCATATATATATATATATATATATATATATATATATATAACATCCATACCTCTACTTTAATGTGAAGTAATTCAAGGAAAGTTTCTGGTAAAGTTCCCATACTAGACATATAGTAATAATGGAGTATTATAGCCTACCTTTTTCTTATTTTTTTGACCAAAACAATTAATTTATAAAAAAATCTAACATATTTACTCTCAAGCAAACGTAGTAATAAGTGGAGATGCCGACAAGAATGATGCATTTTTACAAAGCTTTGAGGAAGACCATGTTATTACCATAGAGGAATGCGTAATCGTGTATAAAAGATTATATTAATTGATCATAAAAATCATTGAAGGTAAAAGTGGATTTATGAAATCCATTCAGTTACACATAAAAACACTTCAGGCTGAATATTCATCGGCTAATCTCATATGTAACATTATAAACGAATAATATTTCAGATATAATCAGGCCAATATTTTTAAATATATTGAAATAATGGAGATTTGTAGCTCAGTTGGCTGTATATCGGATAGTGATTTGCCTTTGGAAATTCGAGCACATGGCTGAGCCCCAATAGCTCAGTGGTAACGTTTCTGACTTCACTAATGGGTGACGCGGGTTCCAATCTCCAACGGAGTATCAAGCTTTTTGAGGTTTTTGCTGACGAGTGCCAGTAAGCGTAAAGCTTAGGCGCAGAGCTCCCTGGAAACTGTCCCCAACCATATGAAATCAATTTTTAAAGTTCACAGAGATAGCAAATCGACTTAGCTTGGTGATTGCATTGCAAAACTTGACTGATAGAATTCAGTCAGTCCCAACATTAAGGATTAGACATATGACAATGACTACTTCCCTAGTAATTAATCAATCTATTGCATACAGTTAGCCAACTTTCCGTTACCATGTAAAAATATAGGGGAAAATGTGAAAAACTAGAGAGGCTGTAGGTGGCCTGTATAAATTATAGAAAAACAAGAACAATTAATGACTGGACAAAGGTCAAAGACACCTGTTTAGCTGTAATCCTAATTCACAATATACACAACAACAACAACAGTGGCTTAAGAGAGTAGACGACTTAAGCAAATAAATTTAGGTTTAAACACAACTTTTTACTTGCTAGCTAGTACCGTAAACTCTGATAAAGTATGTGGCTTAGTACAATTACCATACAAAAAAATACTAGTAGTCTTATAGGAGAGGGATCTGAAAAAAAGCTTTAATCGATTACTTACACTACAAAATGTCTGCTAACATATGAAAAAAATGTTACATCGACTGGTTATTATTTTAATTTTCTCTTGTTTCAAATGATTAACAATGAATGTGTTTATTATTATTATTATTGCGAAGCAACCGTTGTAATTGCTGCATAGTTTTTCTTGTACTCCCAAGCTTTTTTTATTTAATCTTAACAAAACGATACATTAATTTAGACCTTAAGCAAGAAAAACAAGTTTTAGGTGGTCAGTAACACATAAGCATTTCAGTATTGAACTAGCTTTTAGATAATGTGTAAAGGGAGATATTACATTAGTCATTAGAAAATTGTTTTATTCTGCGCTCATTCAGGCTTACAATAAACAGTTGAATTCAATTGGTGGATGGTGACTAACAGTGGAATCCAAGATGCTCATTTCGTCCTATTTGGGACTCGTCATCTAGATGTACCTGCCTTCCCCAGTGAGTGATGGTGTTGCCACTAAACGCCAAAGCGTTATCGACTAGACCACTTGGGTCACGAGAGCCAACTCTCGTGCAACGGGTCTTATTAATTATTTAATTCAATTTAGACCGAAGCACTTCGGTCCAGTAAATCGACGGGAAAATCTAAATTGAATTAAATTATCACTGAGTGATTCAAACAATTATACACAATGAACTGAAACAGTCGGTTAGTCAACTAACTATGAAATCATGCTGTAAAATACAGTTAGCATAATGAGAATAACTTCATAGTATTCCAATTATGATTTACAATCTCTTTATTCCCACCAATATCATTGGATAGTGTTTATTCAAACACGAAGTCTATCTGTAAAATTTGATACAATCGCGTAATACATTTCGAATAAACTAATCATAACTAACTATTTGAGAGCAGCCATCGTTTCAGTAAAGTTTCATATACACCGCTTACACATTTTTGTATGGAATTTTGAAATCTGTTTTTAAAAAATGAATCGAAACAGTCAAGTCAACAGTATGCTTTGCTGTAGACGACGCTGGTTGTTTGTCATCTGCACCTATCGAGCTATGAGAGTTAAGTTGTTCTTTCAAGCCATTTAAGTACATGTTCTCTCCCCGCTGACCCACAGAGAGCGACTAGTCCATCTAATTTATGTCCAGAAATACATGTAGATTGATTTACAATATAGTGTGAGACGTGATCATTAGTACAATGTTGAGGTTTATAATAGAGCATGTATTTAGCTTTTTCGAAAATGATAAGTCGGGTTGTGTAGTATGTTTTACGAATGATTAATTTCAATCTCTCTCTCTCTCTCCAAGAATCATACCACTTATCACTTTACTGCAAGATAGTTTAATGTAAACATCCTTTTTGGAACAAAATAGTGTAATTTTTGAATTTGGTTTTCTTCTATACGGGAGTAACCGTTTTCTTCAACGGTACTAGTCAACATTTTATTGGAATCATCTGTCTCATCAACACTACGGTTACGCTGTATCCTCTTGAGTAGACATTTTATCAAGCCTCTACTGTACTGCATTGGGCAGAAATCGTGTAAATTTATATACTGCCCTTATTTAAGTAGGCCTTGTACTCGTCTTAATAACCCACCCCTCATTGACTCAAAAGCATTTCTGAAAGAGAAAGATGATACCAACTCAATGGACACAGATAAAAGGTGAAGATACTGTCTAAAGAATATTAGCGGGAGTGAGAGGAAGAAAGAGAAAAAGTATTGATTTTGAGTAACTGTAATGCTCAACAGACAACCTCTTTAGGTCAATCAAGTATGACCCGTTTGAGGATGGAGATTTTGAAATTTCATCAGTACAGAGGACCTTATCACTTGATGCAGACCGATGTAGAGTAGACCAAAAGAAGACATTTTTCTAACCCCTTCTTCAATTTA